TGACTGTGGGTGAGGTGTACAGCCTTTCTGAACCCCACTTTCCTCACCTGTAACATGGGGATATGGAATCCCTGAGTGGCGCAAAAGGTTAAGTGCTCAGCTACTAATGAAAGATTGGTGGCTTGAATCCACCCAGACGTGCCTCAGAAGAAAGGCTCGGTAATCTACTTCTGAAAATCAGCCGTTGAAAACCATAAGGAGCACAATTCTATTCTGACACACATGGGGCCACCACGAGACACAGTCAACTCGATGGCAGCTCTTTTTTTGTTTTTGTTTGTTTGTTTTGTTTTAATCTTTCCCTTACTCCTATTTCAAGGCCTCATTCCCTCATTGAGCTCTAGTTTCAATAACTGAGATTCTGCCCTAACCTTGGTACCTGCAAGCCTGGGCTGTGAACTACATAACACTCCATGCCCCATCTATGATTGGGATGCTCTTTGCTCATTCTGCTTCCTCGTCCAAGGTCTGGAATCTTCCCTGGACACAGAGTGATTCCTGAGTCCTGATACAGCATGAAAGATGAAAGTAAGGCTGCTAGCCTATACTTCTAATAACATTAATAATAAAACACTTAGCACTTAACATGAATTGACCTCTTTTTATGTGCTTTACTGATATTAGCTAAATTTTATCTCCACAATACTATAAGATCGGTACTATTTTATCCTCATTTTATAGATGAGAAAACTGAGAGGTTAAGCAGAGTCAGCACTTAACTCAGGCAGTCTAATTTCAGAGATCATGCTCTAACAACTCAGCTATACCACCTCACTGACCACACCACTGTGACTACCTTTTACTACTCAAGTTGTTGGGTTAGTGGTATGGGTGATGCAACAGAAACAGATATCCCAAAAGCATCACCATGAATACTATTACTCTCCCTGAATGAGGGAAATTACTCCACCTATCCATGCAGCTAATCATTGTCCATCAATCTATCCACCCATCCATCCATCCACCACTCAGTCATCCATCCATCTTTCAAACCATCAATCCATCACTCAATCTATCCATCTACCCACCCATCCATCCTTATATTCACCTACTCATCCATTCATCTTCTAACCCACGCATCCACTCATTCACTCATCTTTCCATCCACCCATCCACCCACCTACTCCATCTATCCATTCATCCAGCCATCCATCCAAATCATTCAGCTGTGGGTTATGGTGTCTAATGGCACCACTGGAACTGGTTATCTTTATGATCCCTTTACAGTCTGAGAATCTGTGACTTCGTAAAAATATATTGACAGGGGGATGACCATACACAAAATGAATGACAGTTCCAGTGCGTCCTCAAAGCACTCACACCCAGTAGGGAAGACTCGAAAATAAAAACACATATAACTATAGCAGAAGGTAGAGAATGCAAAGATGGAAGTAGCAGTGTAGAGGGTGAGGGTAGTGGAGGGAAAAAGGCCTGGTCCACACAGAGAAATGTGATCCTAACTATTGTTGAAATATGTTCAAAAGACTGGTAGGTTTGAAGAACACCAAAAGCCCAACTCTACCTCCCTGTAGCCTGCACCAGGTTTCAAATTCCTCCGCTCTTTTCCAGGAAGGCATCTGCTTCCAGGTGGCCCCTGCTAAAGGCACAAGTACTGGGAAACACATCAATCAGTGCTTATCTACAAGATTAGGAATCAGACCATCTGTGAATCCAGGATCCGATTTTCTGAACCTCAAATTAGGGCATATGACAATCCACATGGAAATAAATACAGGCTCTATTTGGAATCTGAGCTGCTTCAGAAATTCTGCCCTCATACAGCCACCCCTTCATTCTGTTCATGCCACACCGGGATACTTGCTGCTTCCTAAATAAGCCGTGGAATTTCAGTCCCCCTTGCCTTTGCATAAGATCCCTGGTGGTGCAGTGGTTAAAGCACTCAGCTGTGATCCGAAAGGTTGGTGGTTTGATTCCACCAACCACTCCACGGGAGAAATATGTGGCAGTTAGCTTCTGTAAAAATTCCCATTACCCATTGCCACCGAGCCGATTCCGACTCATGGCTACCGTATGGGGTAGTTCTACTGCCCCATAGGGTTTCCAAGGAGTGGCTGGTGGATTCAAACTGCTGACCTTTTGGTCAGCAGCCAAGCTCTTAACCACTACGCCACTAGCCTTGAAAATCCTATGGGGTAGTTCTAATCTGTTCTATAGAGTTGCTATGAGTCAGAATGGAATGGGCTTGACAGTAGTGGGTTGCCTTTGCTTATATAATCCTCTGCCGGGATCCCTTTCTCCATTCTCTCTTGATAGAGTAGAAATACTTTTCATTGTCTAAGGCCCATGTTCTGAGTCAGCTTCTCCATTCTTCCAAGTCAAATGCTTCCATTCATTTCTCTAGATGGTCCCATAACACTTGATTTTTACCTTTTATTTGGCACTTAATACACTTTTCTATGTCTTATTTTTCTTATGTAAATGAATCCCCCCAACTTTATTGCAAACAGGAAACAGACAGGACCCCATCTCTAGAGTACTAGCCTCATAGTTTTTCAGTGTTTATATAATAATTGTGGTTTGGTTGTGGAAACATCAGGCTTTAAGTGGGAATGTGTTAGATTACCATTATCAAGCAAATAATATAAAAAACTATGCTTTATAGAACTTCAAGATTCATATGTTTATCTTATGGATATAAGGTATATTATGGATATAAGACCAAGTGGATCAGAAATACCTTGGTAAAAATGGAATTTCTTGTCTCCCCTGTCTTAGTCATCTAGTGCTGCCATAACAGAAATACCACAAGTGGATGGTTTTAATGAAGAGAAGTTTATTTCCTCACAGTCAAAGTAGGCTAAAAGTCCAAATTCAGGGCATCAGCTCCAGGGGAAGTCTTTCTCTCTCTGTCAGCCTTCTCATCAGTGTTCCCCCAGACTAGGAGCTTCTCGGCGCAGGGACCCCAGTCAAAGGACGTGCTCTGCTCCTGGAACTGCTGTCTTGATGGTATGAGATCCCCCTGTCTCACTGCTCACTTCTGTCTTTTATATCTCAAGAGATTGCCTCAGGACACAATCCAGTCTTGTAGATCATGTCCTACCTTACTGACACAACTCCCACCCATCCTCCCTCATTCACATCATAGAGGCAGGTTTACAACATACAGGAAAATCACACAGTACCAGGAATCATGGCCTAGCCAAATTGGTACACACATTTTTTGGGGGACATAATTCAAACCATGACATTCCACCCTTTGGCCCCCAAAAACTCACATCCTTGAAACATGGAAAATATATTCACCCCATCATATCATAGTAGAAGTCTTAACTCCAAGTCCAAAATCCAAAAATTCCTCTTCATCTGTGAAATCTAGAATACAAGTTATTAGCTTCCAAAGGTACAATGGCAGAACAGGCACAAGCTAGACATTTCCATTACAAATGGGAGAAATTGCAGGGAAAGAAGGCTTAACAGGCACCAAGCAAGTTAGCAGAACACATTACATTAGCCCTCAAGGCTTTGAAAATAATCTTCTGTTCTCTGAGACAATTTACACAATAGCCCTGCCCTCCCTCCAGACTCTAGGTATTGGCCACAGTCTCTGGATTTTGAGTGGAGGCCCCTCGGCCCTGGGCTTCAGATCCTCTTTCCAGGCCCACTGGGACAACAACTCTGCTTCCTTGGCTTTAGGCGCACCATTCTCCTACTCTGTTGCAATGACAACTCCACCCTTAGAAACACCAGAGGCCATGGCTCCACCCTTTGAAACCCCTGAGGTCATGGCCATACCTTTTGAGACTGAGGCAGCTCGACTTCTTGTGTCCCTTGTCTCTTCAGCTTCTGCTTCTGATTCCTGCGGCCTCTTGGCCCTCGGGCCTCATGCCCGCATATGCCCTGCTGGGGCAAGTGTTCCAAAGCTCAGAAGCTCCACCAGTATAAGTGCCCGGAGGCACCCCACTGCCAGAAAGCCTCGTGCACACAGACACTCAGCTGTCTCACTCCATGGGATGGCTCCAGCACCATCTCACATTGGTCTCCTGGTTTTGCTGCTGTTGGTTCTCTGCTGCTGCTGCTTCTCTGCTGCTGTAGGTTCTCTGCTGCTGTTGGTCCTCTGTCACTGCCGCACGTCTATCCATCCACAGTTTTAAAACCACTTCTACATTTTAGGTATCTGTTAGAGCAGCACTCCACTCTCTCGGTACCAAATTCTGTCTTAGTCATCTAGTGCTGCCATAACAGAAATACCACAAGTGGATGGTTTTAATGAAGAGAAATTTATTCTCTCACAATTTAGGAGGATAGAAGTCCAAATTCAGGGCATCAGCTCCAGGGGAAGTCTTTCTCTCTCTGTCGGCCTTCTCATCAGTGTTCCCCCGGACTAGGAGCTTCTCGGCGCAGGGACCCCAGTCCAAAGGACACGCTCTGCTCTTGATGGTATGAGATCCCCCTGTCTCACTGCTCACTTCTGTCTTTTATATCTCAAGAGATTGCCTCAGGACACAATCCAGTCTTGTAGATCAGGTCCTACCTTACTGACACAACTGCCACCCATCCTCCCTCATTCACATCATAGAGGCAGGTTTACAACATACAGGAAAATCACACAGTACCAGGAATCATGGCCTAGCCAAATTGATACACACATTTTTTGGGGGACATAATTCAAACCATGACGTCCCCTTAAAGTCAAACAATTTAACTAAATGAAGTAACGACATCAGAAATCAGCCAGTTTAGTGTCCCCATTTTACAGACAAGATTATACAGGTTCAACTTAGTCCATCTTCCAGTTAGGACTTTGCCAAGCTACCAGTGTAGCCAGCGTTCTGGACCCCCCTCTCCTACCCTTGCCCTGATAATGCTCAGTCAACACGGCCCAGGGGACATCCAGGGCATGGCAGCATGTCAAGGTGCTCATCAGACCTAGAGATGGGTGCAACTTTTCACCTCCCTCCTCTGCTCTTCCAGGGAGAACACTAAGCAAGTGCTCTTTCAACTCATGCAGACTTCTTCTTTTTTTTCTTCTCTGCCCAAATTAGCCATTTTAAGAAAAAGGAGAAGGAAATGACTAGTCACTGCTGGGATTAGTCATACACATGAGTTCAACGTCCAGCCAAATCACAACCATCACTTAAGACTTCTTCCTTTACGAGATGATGGACAGGGAGAGTTAAGGAGCACCCATCCTGGAAAAACTCAGCAGGTAGGCTCTCTGGGAAAGAGAAGAGCTCCCCACCCAGCACATCACCCTGAAGCATTGAGGCTTAAGCTGAACGGTTAAAACCAATAAGGGACACTGTGGGTGGGGATGAGTTCAGGGCAGACATGGGGAGAGTAGGATTGTTACTGCAGCAAATATGCCAAAATCCCATATTAAAGTCCAGCCCAGCTTGAATGCTAAGATATGCTAGTCTTAATGACAGGATCAAATACTTTCTAGTTCTGGCACTGTCAGTGAGTGGTGAAAAAGCAGAGCTTCTATTCTGTTCATACAATGATACTTACTGTGCCAAATGAGAAAGCCTAGATTTGCACAGTGTCTTTGTTTGTCCTCCATTATTTTACTGGATTCTCACAACTGGGAGCTAAGACAGCGGACATGGAAGCACAAAAGGCTGTGGTTCCTTCCCCAGGTTGAGGCAGGCAGTTGGGCAGAGCAGAGACTCAAACCCGGGCCTTCTAATTCCGTGGTTCATGACTCCTCCACAACACTGAGAAACCAGGTATTATTGCAAAGCTCGTGGATCATCAGGAAGACCAAGGGACTTCCATTTACTGCCAGCTCATCCATTACCCACAGGAAAGGGAGGTCTAACTGGGACTTGGGTCTTTCCTCCTCCAACCACAAGCTCAAGGAAAGCCTCCTCCTCTAGAAGCGAAAGGAGAAAGAGAACTGAACAAGCCGATTCCACTTTTGAGTTACCTGGCCTGGCTCCTGAACTCCAAGATGCGTACAATTGTCCTCTGATTGCATCAGAATTTGTTCCTGTGAGGGAACAGTATCCCCTAGCACCAGCATCAGAAACCCTGCACACATATGCACGTGCATAGGCACACACACATACACACATACAAACACACATGCACACAGACAGACACATGTGCACACCCAGGCACACATACTCATACATGCACATACACACACATCTGTACAAACACACCCATGCACACATGCATGCACACACACACAGACACATGCACAAACACACCCATGCACACATGCGTGCACATACACACACACACAGATGGAAATACACATGTGCATACCCATACACACATGCATGCACGAACACACAAGTGCACAGATATACACATGTGCACACCCAGGCACACATACACACGCTTGCTTGCACATATATGCACACACATACACACACACAAAGGTACAAGCACACAGACAGACATACACATGTGCACACCCATGGGCACACACACACATATACAAACACGTACATGCACACACATACATATATGCACATGCACTTTCTCAGCCAAGAAGAACTACTGGAGGGCTCTCTCCTGATGCACCAGAGTCTCCCCTTTATGTCCCCCTGAGTCTCACTTTTCTCCTATTCAGCTTCTTGTTGCCACCCACTATTCAGCCCCAGAGTTATTCTCCTTCCCCTGAAAGCTCTGGCCCGAGCTGGACCAACAAGTACTTTTCTTCTTTTCCAAAAGCAGAGCCAAGTTAGTCAGATATTTTAACATAGGACAGTTCTGACTAATAACTGGAGGATTGTGACTGAAAATACAAATAGTACCACAACTGCCTCACTCCCACCAGAGAAGTTCATGACGCAGAGCGAGCTCCAGAGTCACAGGCCCAGTGTCCTGGGACCTCGCCTCCCCTTGTGTCTCCCACCAGTGCCCAGCTACATCACTGCCCAGTTTCTGTGCCTGTGAAGTGAGAACACTCATCCCAGCCATCTCATGGGATCCTTGTGCAAGTCAAGGGAGAGATACCAGATGAGACACAGTTTGGGCATCTTCAAATAAGATCAGATGTAAAGGTGTTTCCTCCTTTTCTTGGTTTGGGTATGTGTTTTTCTTCTTGATCCATTGCTTTTGGACACAATTCATCATTATGGATCAGAAGAGACGCCTATCTGAACCCAAGCAGATAGAACCTGCCAGAAAAGGAGAACTTGATGGTTTAAAGGAGAGGCTGGCCCAGGTGCCAGGGCTGCTTCTACTGGACTTGCTAGCCCTCCAACAAAGCAAAACAATTTAGTGCACTGCAAACCTCAATTTAGAAAAGGCCCGCATCCGCTCGTTAGGTTTAACATGCTGGCAATAGACAGCAGCTTCAAGCCTCCTCCTTCCGCCCTAACTGGGTGAGTGAAGCAAGGAACAGGAGGTGGCCTGGCTGAGGAGGTCTTTCTGTGACCCCCAGGAGGGCTGTCCCTGGTGGGCTCGCCTAACGGGTCTCATACCCTCTTCTCTGTCTGCTCTAGCTACATAAAAACCTGTACTTCAGGTGGCTGCTTATGTTGCCCTTGCAGAGCAATTCTTCCTAAGGATCTGCCTGTGTCTAGAATTCTCTATTTAAAAAGATCATCCTGTCTGGTGTGAAACCCTGTGGCCGGTATTTAATCAACCAGCAAGCACCAAATAAACTCCACCATGTGCCAAGCACGGGTATTATGGGGAGATAATTCTAAGACACTTAAGACAGTTACTGTAAAAAAAGGCTTCACCATTCAGTTAAAACTCATCGCCGTCGAGTCAATTCTAACTCATAGCGACACTATAGGACAGAGTAGAACTGCCTCACAGGGTTTCCAAGGAGCGGCTGGTGGATTTGAACTGCTGACCTTTTGGTTAGCAGCCATAGATCTTAACCACTGTGCCACCAGGGATCCACCATTTAGTTCAGGAACAAAAATAACACCCATAAGAACACACTGATAATAATAAGAAGATACTATTTAATTACTTTTTGCCAAATTCTGTGATGCCTTCAGTGCCAGGGCCACATTCGTTTGAGGGACCTCATTGTTGGCAAAACATTCTGATACTGTAGATTTGAGCATCAGAAATTGCTAAAAGTTATCGAGAGCCAAGCCGGAGAACGAAAGTAGTCAAAGACATGGAGTAGATCCAATTTGGATCAAAGAAGAGGTGATGATTAAGTAACCTTGGGAGTTATTTTTGCTAATCTGGTTTGGAGACAATTCTGAAAGAATGCCCACTGACTCTTCAGCAATGACAACATCGCTGAACCAGGGGCCGAAAACCAAACCAAACCCATTGCTGTCGAGTCGATTCCGACTCACAGCGAGCCTACAGGACAGAGTAGAACTGCCCCACAGGGCTTCCAAGAAGCAGCTGGCAGATTTGAACTACTAACATTTGGTGAGCAGCTGGAGCTCTTAACCACTGCATCCCTCCTCAAATAGACTAATTTGAAGAGGGAAATACACACGTGGGTGTATAAACTGTGGTGTTTGTTTAAAAAAATCATACTATTTTTTAACAAATAAAGGTAATTTTAACATATATATATACTACTGTTGTAGAAAACAGGCTTGATGTGTTTGGAATTTATTATTTCTGTATTTGGGGGGAAAAAAAAGGACCGTTAATACCCAACAAGACAGACATGGGTAAGATGCTGGTCAAATGTGGGCCTCAAAGCCAGACTTCTAGAGAATTTCTTCTGAAAGTGGCAAAGGTTCCCTTTTCCTTCCAGCTTGTGGAAATGCCAGTTTCCTTGTTGCGGGAGAACTTTGGGAACTGGATGAGGCTTGTTTTTGTTGTTGTTTGTTCAGTAAAAGAAGACGGCATCATGAAGGGTCTAAAAATCAAGGCCTAATCTCCATCGACTGGCTACCCACCTACATATGCCCAGGGCCTGAGTGCCTCCCAAGCTTCAGTTAAGTGTACATCAGAGGTCCTCAATTTTGGCTGCTATTGGAATCATCTGAAGAGCTTTCAAAAATTCCAAGGCCCGGTCCACACCCTAGTCCAAATACATCAGAGTCCCTAGGAAGGGACACTTCTTCTCCCTTCCCTTCAATAACCTTTACCTCAGGCTTTGGGGTGGAGCACAACAATGCTTAGAAACCTTGTCTCAGTTGCAAATTGGCCTTTAAAGCAGGGCTTCAAACCAGTTCGTTCTGGTTCAAACCCCTGCTGAGAATTTGCATTTCCACCTCCAGGTATACTGAATCAGAATCTATCTATGTTTTAACAAGATCCCCAGGTGATTCTTCTGTATAATAAATTTTGAGAATCACTGCTCTAACTAGTGGTTCTCAGAATTGGTCCCTAACTAGCAATATTAACATTGCCTGGGAACTTGTTAGAAATACAAATTCTCAGCAGGGGTTGGAACCCTGAACTAACCAGTTGGAAGCCCTGATTTAAAGACTGCCCCAGAGGTCAAAGGGCAGCATCTCAGAATGCTGCTGCGCCAGGAAGATGTGCCTTGGATCCTGGGCTTCTTTGGTCAAGGGCATCCACAGCTGGATCCAGGGGGGCGCTGAGGGGCTGTGAGGAAGGAAAGCACCTTTCTGTACTCCTGATCATATATGTACAAAGTCACAGGGAGCAGAGTTCAGTTAGAAGCCTCAACCAACGGGAAGGATAGATACCCGTGACCCCAGCTTCCTTTTTTCTGAGAAGAGGAGATTCTGAATCACAGTAAACGCTCTATGATTCAGATTTCATACCTAGATAGGAAAGGTCTCATTAACACAGTCATCTTTAAGTTTTAAGTTTAGCTTCTTTTTGAGCACAGAACTCCAACTATTAGCTAACGAATCACAGTCCACTGAAAACTGTTTTTATTGGAAGGGGAACCATTAGCACCACTGGGTGTGCCAGATGCTTTGCAGGCGTTTATCTTCTCTGTGCTTCTGAGATGGGTCTTGTGTTGGACTAAGCCTCATGGAGAAGAAATAACTTGCCAAGGTCACTCAGCAGGCAAATGCTGGATTCTAGAGACTAGGGTTTTTCCATGGTTCTCAAACTTGAGCTCACATCAAAATAACCCAGCAGGCTTATTAAAACACATTTCTGGGTCCCACCCTCAGAGCTTCTGATTCAGTAGGTCTCGGTGGCTGTTGTTATTAGTTGGCTCCAACTCATAGCAACCTTATGGATAACAGGAAGGAATGTTGCCTGGTCCTGTGCCACCTCCGTGATCTTTGATATATTTGAGCCTATTGTGGCGGCTATTGTGTCAATCCGTCTCACTGAGGGTTTCCCTTGTTTTTGCTGACCCTCTACTTTACCAAACATGATGTCCTTTTCTAGCAATTTGTCTTTACTGATGGCACGTTCAAAGTAAGCATCCTCACTTCTAAGGAGCATTCTGGTTGTATTTCTTCTAAGACTAATTTGTTCGTTCCTCTGGTAATAGGCCATCTGATTTCTTAACTGCTGCAGGTCTGGGTTAGGGGTTGAGAACGTGCGTTCAAACAAGTTCCCAGGTGACGCTGATGCTGCTGGTCCAGGGACCTCCCTTTGAGATCCACCGCTTTATAACAACAGTGTCAATTACATGAAACTCAGCAGTGAAGAAAAGAGGGGCGAGTCCTTAAGAACAACTCTTAAAGGGGTTAGGTTTCTGCACTCACCCCACACGTACGCTTGCTCTGCTTTTTGTTTGTTGAGCAAACGTATTCTTAGGAGAGAGCAAATTCAGCTTTGTGCAGCTCCAACTGCACCCTCCAGAGTGACCATGGCTGGAGGACTAAAGTTTCACTGTCTCCTGGAATTGATGGTTTAGTGGATTCCCTGCAGGCCTCTCCTTGGACCAAGTAAGGAAAAATCCAGGAAAACAAGAACAAACTGGCCACATGATGCCACCAGAGCACTCGTGACCTCATGGAAGACATTGGTAACCGCTGATGCTTGATTGCAATTTATGGCCATTCACACAAGCTGGGCCTCAGGTGACCTCAGAAAGCCCTTTCTTTGCTGGAGGCACGGTTTGTCTGGTTTCCTAGCAACCTAAACATTAAGGAACAGAGGTGACAACAGACAGCTCTAGGAGGCCCTCCCCCGCCGGCCCACCCAACCAGGTATTGGAAGGGATTTCTGCAGTATTAGAAGAGTTTCCACTGCCAGTGTGAATAAGGTCTGCAATCCCAACCTACAGGTTCTACATAAAACCACAGGCAAATTACTGCAACGCCCCAGTCACCATTAAAGCCACAGAAAAGCACAACTGCAAATGATGCAGGTAACTGTGAGCTGCTGGCAGGAAGACCAGTTCAGTGCAATGATCTGAAATAAAACCAGTAGTTTGAAGCTTCAGGCTTTGAGAAATACATATCTGTAAGTCACGGCGTTTTTCAGAAGACAATGTTGTGGTTGTTTTCTTCATTGCCTTTACCACCATCTGAAACTATCTTGTTCTTTTTGTTTGTTTGTTTACCATCCACACTGGGACATTTTTGAGATAGAGCAGGAGTGCAAAAAATAATTAACAAGTTATTATTACCCCAGGCAAACCAGCCCTCCTGACGTCTCCTAGACTAGAACGTGAGCTCCATGACAGCGGGGACTGGATCTGTCTTGTTCATCATGTGTCCCCAGCACCTACAACACGACACAGCACACAGTAGGTGAGCGGTAACTATTTGCTCAGTGACCATGGAAGCTTTCGCATCTCAATTTCTTCAGCGATGAAAGTGGGTGTGGTAACCATGACAACCGAGAGAGACTGGTGAGAAATAAATGAAATTGCAAACGAGCCAATAGATCCTCAATAAAATGCTTATTTCCTTTTGTGCTCTTCTCTAGGAAAATCAAGATTCAGAACTGAAGTTTCTGGAAGTGGAATTTGGGAACTGGGATGAGGGTCTAGTACAGTGCTTCTCACTCCCGACTGAAGATGAGAATCAGCCCAGGCGCATTGAGAACACCAACGCCCGGGCCCCTCCAAGCCAAGTGAAATGAAAGCACTGGATGCCCGGGTAGGTGTATGTTTTTAAAGCTTCTTGGGGGATTTTGATGCACAGAGAGGGCCGAGGCCCCCTGATCAGGTCAAACTCACTAATTTCCCAGATAAGGAATCAGGGCCAGAAAGGGACCTGCCCTTGGTCACACAGCTCTTCCTGGCTCCCAGCCCAGTGTTCTTTCCCCTGTCAAAACAATTTTAGACAGATTGATCAATAGATGGATGAATGGGTGGGTGGGTGGGTAGATAGATAAATAGATAGATAGATAGATGGTTGTGTGCTGTGGAGTCGATTCTGACTCATAGCAACCCTATAGGACAAAGTAGAACTGCCCCATAGGGTTTCCTAGGGTGTAATCTTGGGTTAATATAGGTCACAATTCAGTTAATGGCAATACTGTTTTTTTTGTTTGTTTGTTTTTTTTTTGGTAATCTTTACAGAAGCAGTTCTCCAGGTCTTTTCTGCCACAGAGACGCTGGTGGATTCAAACTGCCAATCTTTTGGTTAGCAGTCGAGTGCTTAACTATTGTGCCATTACAGCTCCTAGATAGATAGATAGACAGAGACAGACAGACAGTGAGCATACTCTAAAGTAGCATATTTGTCATAGAAACAAAACTTTTCTAAAATAAAAATTTAAAAAAAGAAGTTGGGGAAGCATGCAATACACCAGACTTGTCAAACTGGGGCCTGCAAGTAGAATGTAACTGATGAATATATGGTTAATTTATTTAAAACAATGTAATTACTTGCTTTTCATAAAAATCAGAAAATTTCACCTAAAAACTTGAATCTCTGGATTTATTGGAAAAATCAGAAGATATGATGATACTGAGCCCACATTCTCACTTTCAATAATCAATAGTATGTGTACTCTCATACATTGCTGATGGGAATAAGATGTTACCACCACTTTGGGAAATAAAGCTAAGCATACACCTGAAGTATGGTGCAGAAATTCCACTAAAAAAAAAAAAAAAAAAGACTTCCCTCCAGCAGGCGGAGCTTCCAGCTGTGGAAAGATCCTGAGGACCTTCTGTGAGAGGACCTGGGCTTGCTAGTGAGTCCAGTCTTCATCTGCAGGGTCCATGAGCCAAGTTCAAAGCCAGGTTAAGTTCCCTGTCAGATCATGTTCACCACGCCCACTCCAGGCCCTGGGCACAGGCACTGTGATGGTTGCATCCACTTGTCCCTCCAGATCCAGCCTCCAGACTCACTCTCCACTGTCCTCCACCCTCTTCCTCTATGTCTAGGAAGGCTGGGCATTGGGTCACCCAGGCTCCTTCTGGCTTCTAAGTCGGTTCAGCCAATGGGCAGCACCAGCAGGAGTTAGAGGGTGAAAGAGTCTGAAGATGGGGCTGACCTCACTAGACTCTGGGAGCTTGACCTTAGCAAATGGACACAAAGCCTTTAGTTGACTATTTCACAGTCAAAAAACAAACTCATTTGTCGTCAAGTCAGCTTCACTCATGGCAACCCTATATGTGTCAGTGTAAAACTGTGCTTCATAGGCTTTTCAAGCGTGTTAACCATTTGTACCACCCAGGGACGCCTCGGATAGTCAGTACACAATACTTTCCCTTCTGACATACAATAACACATGGGTAAAATCTGCCCCATGCTTGGGGGAAGAAGCAAAGATTAGCCTCTATTTGTAGTAAAGCATTGACAAAAAAGAGTTATTTAGTAAAACAAACAACAAAAAATAAAAAATCAGCTTTGTTCTCAGTTCTCTTGGTTTGTTGCTTTGGTTAATTATACCTCTCTTCTCTGATACAGGGCCACCCTCTCTTCCTTTCGAATTCTGTTTACTTTATAAACAACATTCAGAGTTTTTTACAACCTCTTGGGCAGCTTTCAGTAGGCTCCTGAACTTAGAGTAAGGCTTTCTCACCACTCAGAAAGTGATTTCCTGTGGCAGTGAACTGCTGCTGAACTTCAGGGAAGAGTTTTATGTTCCCAGCTTCCCAAGCTTGGCCAACAGCCAGGGTGAGCTTTCTGAGGTCCTGCTCCGGGCCATCTCAGACAATCAGACTGGGATTCTCCGGCCTGAAGCTGATGCAGGAACTTGAACACATAGATGCCCCCACTCTGGCCTGAGGGTAGACTTTAATGAGCTCATAGGGAGTGAACAGGCTCTTGAGGTGGGCTCCTCTGGGGTCAGCTCACCACTGCTATGTGTTCTTGGACAAGTCACTGATTTTATGCCTCATTTTACTCATGTGTAAAACTGGACTAATGATCGTTTGTACTTCAAGGACCAGTGTGGGAGGGTGAACTCTGATTTGGGTTTCTGACCTCAAAGAGACTACGAGGAAGTGAGAGGAGTTATGAGGATTGGCAATAATGAATGTCGAGTTCTTGACACAAAGCAGGTGATCAATAAATAGTAGTTATTATTACTTCAAAGGGAGTGCCTGGGTGGTACAAATGGTTAACTCACTCAGCTGCTAACCAAAAGGTGGGAGGTTCAGGTCCACTCAGCATCAACTCAGGAGAAAGACCCGGCTATCTACTTCCAAAAAATCATTGAAAACTCTGTGGAGCACAGTTCTACTCTGACACACAGGGGATCACCATGAGTTGGAATCAACTCAACAGCAACCGAAAAACGTTACTTCATAGAGTTTTGTGGGCATTGAATGTATAAAAATAACCAGTTGATGCTATGCACATTGTAGATGTTGAATAAATGATACACTATATTTAATAGTAGGTCTAAGAATATTGTTGAAGAAAAGCTCAAAAGTAACGTACTCTGCCCCAAGCAGATTATTCTAACACCTCTGTTGCCCGTGGACAATACCTCTGGGGTCACCTTCTCCTCATCAAAAGGACTGAGCCCCTGACAAGAATGATGACAATAAGACCTGTCAAGAAAGTTAAATTTTTTATTAGCTGTAGAAAATATGAAACTGCAGACAACTGTCAAACCTTAGTTTAAATTCCAAACTACGTAGTTTAAGTCAGAGTGAACGTCGGGAAGCAAAGTTTTGCAGACTTGATTTGTGGATTGTTATAGTCTTTGTATTTTTTCTCATAGGGGGTGTTGCTTTCTGGGGTGGATTGATCACTGGGCCAGGAGGCAAGAGGCTGGGAACTTCGTCCTGGCCCTATCATTAGCTAGTTGTGTGAACTTGGGGCCCTGGTTCCTTACCTGTCAAACGAGGGGGTTAGGCTAGATTCTAAGTCTGTGACTTTCCATTTCCCAATAGTTGACGTGGTGGGGGAGGAGGTGGTGCTGTTACTGACAACGAAGTCCCTGAATAGGGGAGGTGGGACAGGGGGTAAGTCTTCCCACAGAGCCGGGAAAGAGACCCCACTGCCTGCTGAAAAGATTCAAAAAAATGGGGCAGGGGCTGGTAGTGTTGTGGGGTGTGAAGGAGACAGATGTGGTGGCAGCAACCAGCTCCAAGTAAGGGATCAACTGAGGCAAAGCTCAAGAGAAAGATCAAAAAGATGAGCACAGAACAGGCAACAGTGTAGGCCATTGTGATGTGGAGGTTATCAGTGATCTTGACAAGAGCGCTTTTGGTGAAGGGGAGCGGGGAGAAGAGCCTGCCTTCTAGGGATTCAAATAAGACTGGAAAGAGAGGAATTGGCCAAGAAATTTGGAAGACATCTACCTGGCCAACTGACTGCAAGAGATACATATTTGTGCCCTCCAAAGAAAGGTGATCCAACCGAATGCAGAAATTATTGAATAATATCATTAATATCACCCACAAGTAAAATGTTGCTGAAGATAATTCAAAAATGGTTGCAGCAGTACATTGACAGGGAACTGCCAGAAATTCATTCCAGATTCAGAAGAGGATGTGGAATGAGGGATATCATTGCTGATGTCAAATGGATCCTGGCTGAAAGCAGAGAATACCAGAAAGATGTTTACCTGTGTTCTATTGATTATGCAAAGGCAATCAACTGTGTGGATCATAACAAATTACGGATAACATTATGAAGAATGGGAATTCCAGAACACTTAATTGTGTTCACGAGGAACCTGTACACAGATCAAGAGGCAGTTGTTTGAACAGAACAAGGGGATACTTCGTGGTTTAAAACCAAGAAAGGTGTGAGTCAGGGTTGTATCCTTTCACCAAACTTATTCAATCTGTATACTGAGCAAATAATCTGAGAACCTGGACTATATGAAGAAGAATGTGGTATCAGGATTGGAGGAAGACTCATTAACAACTTGTGATGTGCAGATGACACAACCTTGTTCGCTGAAAGCGAAAAGGGATTGAAGCATTTACTGATAAAAATCAAAGACTACAGCCTCAACATAAAGAAGACAAAAATCCTCACAACTGGACCAATAAGCAGCATCATGATAAACGGAGAAAAGATTGAAGTTATCAAGGATTTCATTTTACTTGGCTGCACTATTAACGCCCGTGGAAGCAGCAGTCAAAGAATCAAATGACATATTGCATTGGGCAAATGTGCTACAAAAGACCTCTTTAAGGTGTTAAAAAACGAAGATGTCACCTTAAGGACTAATGTGCACCTGACCTATGCCATGGTATTTTCAGTTACCTCATATGTATGTGAAAGCTGGACAATGAATAAGGAAGACCGAAGAAGAATTAATTCTTTTGAATTATGGTGTTAGTGAAGAATATTGAATATGTCATGGACTACCAGAAGAATGAAAAAGCCTGTCCTGGACGAAGTACAGCCAGAGTGCTCCTTGGAAGGCAGGATGGTGAGACATCATCTCATGTACATTAGACATGTTGTCAGGCAGGGTCCAGTCCTTGGAGAAGGTCATAATGCTTGGCAAAGTAGAGGGTCATCGAAAGAGGAAGATCCTCAATGAGATGGATTGACACAGTGGCTGCAACAATGGACTCAAGCATAACAATAATTGTGAGGAAGAGGCAGGAGTGGACAGTGTTTCGTTCTGTTGTACATAGGGTCACTATGAGTTGGAACTGACTCAACGACACCTAACAACAACAGGCACACTTTGGACGTGTTTTTCTGTAGATCTAGAAACTCGTTGTTAA